GATTTGTGTGACCAAAAGGGTATAAACAGGACTCCGATTGTGTACTTAGAATCTACAAGTGAAGAGCTATGTAGGATGCTAAAAGGAGGACTATATATACAGGTATTGGGAGCCATAAGGGCTAGGCCAAAAAGGGTGAAAGAGTCCTAGGCGTAAGATGCCTAGGTCTAGAGCTATAGAGCTAGGGCTCTAAGCTGTGAAAGGAAGGTCCAAAAGAGCCGTCATATCATACTATGTATGTAGTATGAGCCAGTGGGCGGAAGAGAGCCGTCTGTTCCGTCACAATTTGAACAGAAAATAATATACTTTTAGGTTAAATTCTGGATTAAAATCAATTATTTTTTTAATATTGTAAACTCCTATATACAGTCTTTATAAAATTATAATTACAATTCTGATTCTCAGTTTTGCCCTGTTAGAATATCAGTGTTATTGTGAGATATTTTTTTTATTGATTAAGCAATAGGATACAGAAAGAATATGTAAGAGAGAGTATAAGAATAAGTTATTAATATAATAATCGCTAATCAGTATTATAGTAGCAATGAAGAATTGATCTCAGTTATTATTCATATTTCGGCTAATACAATACTATCGAAATAGATAATTATTGGTATAATTATAAATAGAGTCAGATCTAGATCTATTTGCTAATGAAAAGAGACTTCTTGATAAAACAAAATAAAAGTAAATGGCAATATATAATCAAAGGATAATAAACAAACAAGTATTGAATAAAAAGGCTATTTGGCGTTTTCCCAAATCGTTATATTATATAATTACTAATTATCAAAGGGTGTTCAGCTTCATTATACATCTATGTTAGTTTCAATATTAACTTAATATTATAAAGCCTTTTTGCTATTGAATGCAATACCGAACCAAAAAGGTTTAAAATGAAGATTTGATAATTTCCAGAATGAAACTATATTATTGGGATGAAAGTGTATAACCAGGATTTTCTCTTTGTTGTCTCGAAGAGTATTCAGCTTTATTATATATCTATATTAGCTTTAATGCTAACTTGATGTTGTAAGGCCTTTTTGCTATTGGATACAATACCAAACCAAAAGAGTTTAAAATGGAGATTTGGTAATTTCCAGAATGAAACTATGCCATTGGAATGAAAGTATATAGCCAGGATCTCCTTCTTGTTGTCTCGAAGGATATTCAGCTTCATTATACATCTATATTAGCTCCAATGCCAACTTGATATTGTAAGGCCTTTTTGCTATTGGATATAATATTAAAGCAAAAGGGTTTAAAATGGAGATTTGGTAATTTCCAGAATGAAACTGTGTTATTGGGACAAGAGTGTATAGCCAGAATCTTCTCCTTATTATTTCGAAGGATATTCAGCTTTATTATATATCTATATTAGCTTCAATACTAACTCAATGTTATAAAACCTTTTTGTTATTGAATAAAATATCAAATCAAGGGAATTTGGAATAAAGATATAATAATTTCCAGAATGAAATTATATTATTATGACAAAAATGTATAGTCAGGATTTTCTCCTTATTGTCTCTTTATTGAATCTCTATTGAATTGATAAAAAGAGATGCAAACATAGAGATTAAATATCAAAACAGAAAGAAAATACAATAAATAGAAATCAATTGTAAGGAAAAGTTTGTGATCAGATAACTATCAGACTACGAATTGGATATTCCAAAGATTGATTCCTATGCATAGTTAAAAGCAGAACAGTCATCCTATTCGATAAGGGTATATATTTTAACAGATAAGATTGTAGTAATTGCAATAATCTATAGCCAAGATTGATATAAGAACAACCCTAGTATAATATAGAGATAATAAAGAGAGAAAAAACAGAAAAATAGAATAGAATAGATATAAAGATAACAGATTGAGAAGGATTGAATTTTTATAAAGATATTGAAAACAGTATTTAAACAAAGCGAGGACGCTTTATTTAGACTATATATACCAAACCTAAATGAGCGAATACTATCCCGAATACAGTTTTGCTAAGCTCGAACAAAGTAATCAGTATCCCATTAACCATCTTACAATATACTTAATAATAATTTGCAGATTAATAAAAATATATTATTTCAGTAGGATAAGATCCTTGAATATAAATAAACTAATCAATACTTTTGTTGCCTATATCTATATTCTATATAACCTTCCAAATAATATAATCTTGGATTATAAAACACAGTTTATATCAGGTTTTTGGACTCAACTCTCAGAATATTTAGGGATAACCTTTAAACACTTTTCTACTTTCTATTTATAAATAAATAAATAAACAAAACATATAAACTCGATCCTGGAATAATATTTATATACCTTCATAAATTTCCACCAAAATAATTAAATAAAACAGCTATCTCTTACCAAATTCGCTTTCAATAACATTATATCAAAAATCACTGATTATTTATTCTTTTTTATAAATCATAGATGTTGGTATCACCGTGGTGGTGATGAAGTGTCAATCGTACTATCGTGTTTCACGTGTTTATATTGCCTTAAGGAACTAAACTATAGAGATGCTAATGTTAAAAGATATACGCTCCGTGGTGGTCAAAGCGTCGCTTATTGCCCTAACCCTTAGCCCTACCGTTCACTACAGTTAAGTGAGTGATATCCAGACAATAGATTTAATCTATAATTGAATATTAAACCTAATAAACCTTACTCTTTAAATATAATAATAATACAGAAACAGGAATTCTTCAAAGAAAACAAGAGAGTCGACCGAATGAAAAGAATATTAGAATAACTTAAAACTTTTGCAAATTAAACAATTATTATATATAAGGAATATATAAATCGGTATTGTTCAGATTCCTTATAGTATACTATTAAGTAACAAATTTATATC